AGGAGGAGGAGGAGGGGGAGGGGGGAGGAGGGGGGAGCAGGAGGAGGAGGAGGAGGAAACGACCAGCCTCAACCCTTTCTGCCCTGCTCGGGCCTCGGCGCCCCGAGGGCGCCCTCTCGACAGCTGCATGGTGCCTGCCGCGGGCCCGCGCCAGGCGCCAGGCGCTCTGCCGCGCCCTGCTCGAAGGGGCCCCAGGACGCACACATAAATACGCACACCAATAAAACGTCTCCCCACATTTTTTCACAGATTTCCTCGGTGTTTGCCTTCCCCCCCACACCTCCCATGTTTTCCCATATTTTCTGGGAATCGCCGACTATGTCTGTGTGTGTGTTTTTCCCCTCCTGACTTCTGCGCGCGAGCCGCCGGGCGGCTCCGGTCCTGCGGGCGCTGGGGCTGGGCTCCCTCGCGTGCGCGCTCGCTCGTGTGCCGCCTCGGGGCTCCGGTCTGCCGGGGCCCCCTCGAGGAGCGCCGGGGGGCGGGCTCTCCGCGAAAGGCTGGTGCGCGAGAGTTGGCCCGCCGCGCGCCCCGCGAGTGCAGCGCCGACAGGGGCTAGCAGTTCAAGGCTGGACATGCTCCAGGAACAGCACGAGCCAGTACCCTCGCAGACCTCCTGTTGCCCCTCCCAGTTGCCTTCCTCCTCCTCTCCCGCCTCCCCCGAGAGCGCCGAATAGGATCTTGCGGGGGACTCCAGGCCAACACGAGCTTGCGAGGCCAGCTTCGCTGAGCCACGCCAGGCAAGGCCCCGCTCGTGCACCTTTGCCGCGGGCGGGAGGAAAGAATGCTCCCTTGGACGGCGGGTGAGACGGTCGAGAGGCCCCCACCCCCCCCGTCCACCGCCTCCTCCGCACTCCCCCCCTGGCTCACCCCAGTCCCGGCAATGGGCGCTCAGGAAAAGCCCGCCGCAGGCGGTGCTGTCCGAGGGCTCCCTCCCCAGACGCCTAGGACCGAGGTCGAACCTCGCCCATCGGGGGAGGATAAGGGTGAAGAGGAGCGTGGTGATGATGATGACGATGACGATGACGATGACGATGATTATGATGATGATGATGATGATGATGATGATGATGATGATGATGATGATGATGATAATGATGATGATAATGATGATGATGATGATGATGATGACGATGGCGATGATCACGATGCTGCTGCTGCTGATGATGCTGCGGCTGATGATGATGCTGCTGCTGATGCTCATGAAGGTGATGGTTCGGATGCTGATATTTGTAAGGCGGATGCTGCTGCTGATGATGGTGGTGATGATGTATGAAGGTGAAGATAGTGGCAATAGTACTGATGGTGAGGTTGATGATGAGGATGATGATGATGATGAGGTTGATGATGATGATGATGATGATAATGATGATGATGCTGATGCTGATGATGATGCTGATGATGATGATGAGCAGGAGGAGGAGAGGGAGAAAGAGGAGGAGGACAAGCTAGGTGCGCTCGCGTCATATCTGACGTCCTACCCCTCCCTCCCATCCCTTGCAATGGCGTAGATATCCTCACTATTAGCACAGTCAGATGTCGAGCAGGGCAATGATTGCGATAGGGTGCGCGATGCATGACAGAGCACGGCATGGCATGGCGTACGAGAGCACGGCAGAGCGTAGTGTCATAGCATGGCGTGGCATTGCGCAGTGAAGCATTGAAACACAAAGCATTGCAACGTAAAGCATGGCAACGCACAACGGCGCAGAACACAACACCTCACAACATGTCATTGCATGGTGCCGGGCTCCTTGGTAGATAAGTGGATCGTTTTCGAGAGGTCTTGGCCGGTCTGGAGTCGTGGCTCCATGTCTAGCTCCTTGGGTTCCCCGAGAAGCTCCACACAAGGCGGGGCTGATGGAGAACACCCGCTGGCTCTGCTTTCAACATCGCCTTCTCAAACCAGAAGCGGGGCTCCCGCTTGATACTTCCTGAAAGCGACGACGCCCCAAAGTGGGGGGGACCCTTCTGCAGCCCCCAAAAATCAACGAATCGACACCGAATGTGGAATCACTTCCGATGGTTTTTTCGGAGCATTTTCTAGATTTTGGAGTTTGTTTGGAAGGACCGCAAACGCCCGCGCTGCAGCAGAAGCACGATTTGGAACAACCCGAGGCGCAGAAATGGGGCCAGCGCTTCAGCGGGAGCAATAATTTGAACAAAAACCGATGCGAAATTCCATTTCCTGGGAATCCTGTGTGTCAAAAACAATGTGCGGAGGGGGGGGCGGACATCTTCCGGACGTCATCGGGGGAGAGACCAGAGTAGTATTCATATTGTGTAATTGGAGGAGGAGGAGGAGGAGAAGGCGGAAGGGAGAAGAGGGGGACCTCCGACGCAGGCTCGGTTCACGACGATGCTCCCATGGGGGTCACCTCACGGCTGCGAACATGGGGCGCCTCTCCAGGCCGCTGGGCTGCCTGGCGCCCGGCCACTGCTGCAGGTCGTTGGCGGCGTCCACCTCGCGCAGCTCCGCCGCCAGGAGCCTCTGGTCTTCCGCCTCCCACGTCTCGGCCTCCTCGGAGGTCAGCTTGCAATAATCCAGCAGCCAGCGCGCCTCTGCCGCGCCCTCGAGGAGCAGGTCCACCTCCACCAGCTGGTTCGTCGTGACGCCGCCTTTCCTGTCGGCGGCGCGCCGGGGGGGAGGATGCAGAGGGGGCGGACCTTTTCAGAAGGCCCAGACGGCCTCGGGCTTTCTTAGGAGCTGTCTGCGCCTTCTCCGAAGCCATTGGGGGGCTTCTCAGAAGGCCAGGGAGGGCTTCTGAGAAGCCCCGCCGCCTTCTGAGGGGGCCTGCCCCCCTCTCACTTGCCCCCCTGGGCTCGCCGCCGATCCTAGGCAGCGAGACGCAGCCGTAGAAGAGCACGCCGCCGGCGCGCGGGAAGCCGCGGTAGGGCTCCATGTCGGGCCCGCGCCAAGAGCGGTTGTGCGCGCCGCCATTCGAGACTCCATCCCAGCTCCTCGCGGTCTCACTGAACGCCGAGGTGGCCCATGGGTTCGTCGCGACAGACTTCGGCGTCCGGCCCATGAAGGAGGACACCATCGACGCCCCGAATACAGACCTCGGGCTCCTCTTCACCGCTCGGGGAGAGCCCCCCCACTGGGAGCCTGCTGGAGAGGAATCGGGCTCGAAGTGCACGCCGTCGAAGGCTGGCTCGCGCACGAAGCTGTTGTCGGCGCGGAGCACGGTGAAGCTGGGCGCCAGCTTCTTGTCCGTGTCGTCCTCTTCTTCCTCATCCTCCTCCTTCTGGAGGCTTGGAAACTAGCACCAGCACCCACGCAGGGGGCTGCATCGGCCGGGGCAAATGACCCTGGTTTTTGGTGCTGGCGGTAACCTTGCGGCCCCCGAGGAAGCCTGAACATTACCACCATCACCGAGCTTGGGGTCGTCTTCCCTCGGTGGAGGCAACCACCGATAGATATCAGTGTTGGTGCCAACCTCTATAAGCCTCCGATCCTTGCCCCCCCCTGGCGACTCGCTCCCCGACGAGCTCGACGCTGGCGCGGGGGTTCCAAAGCCGTCGGGCGGGCAGAGGGCCTCGAAGGCGCCCCTGAAGGCCTCCAGGCTGGAGCACACGATCCGCGCCCGCAACACGTCGCTGGGGCCTGGCGGCAGCTTCGCGTCGGAAGACAGCGCCGCCGTTTGCCGCAAGCCCGCCGCGGCGAAAGCGCCGCTGCCCGCCGCCGTGGCGCCCGGCCTCTTCTTCGTCCAAGGGAGCTCGTCCGACTTCGGGGGGGCCGCCGCCCGGATCATGTCCTCGCGCGAGCGGAGCCGCAACTCCTGGATCACGGCGCCCTCGGGCAGCTTGGCCTCGAGCAGGGCGCGCAGCACTGGCTGCAGCCTCTTCGCGTTGCCCCAGAGTAGCAGGTAGAAGGCCGCGGACCAGAAGTGCTGGAAGAAATTCCCGGGAGACTGCGCGGCGATGTCGCAGACCACGCGGCAGAAGTCGCCGGAACTGTCCACGCACCCAGAACGCACGAGCTGCACGTAGGCGCGCGCGTCGTTTCTCCTGTGCAGCCACCAGCTGTCCTCCTCGGATATGATGTCCGCTTGCTGCACGTAAGCGCCCAAGTGCTCGAAGCCCGGCACGGCGCCGGGCACCCACTGCCCCAGGCCCTCCAGCTCCGGCTGTGCCCCCGTGCGAAGGCACCTGGCGATGTGCCTCCTCGCCAACTGCCACTCCTGGTGGAAAGTCTGCCGCGCCTCTTGCTCGGGTCCCGGCCCCATGAGGGCCATCTGCCCAGCCAGGTAACGCAGGAAGTCCCAGCGCAGGCCCCCGTCGAAAGGCTTCGACGCTCTCACCCCAAGCAAATCCACGCTTCGACTATCGAGAAACTCGTGCGCCGCCAGCGCCTCCGAGGTCTCCACGAGCAGCGGTATCAACAGCCGCGTCCCGAGCAGCCGCGCACGCTCCTGGTCCATCGCGCGGCAGCCCAGCGCGTCGATGACGAACAACTTGTTCGCCAACTGCAGCTGGTCCCCGCGGTTCGGCAGTGGCGCCGCCTCACCGCGCACAACAGAGGGGTCGCCCTCGAAGAGCGGGAAGTGGCTGTTCTGGAAGGCCTCGTCGGTGGCGGCCTTCGACTTGTTCAGCTCTTTCGCGGTCTCGCGGTCCACGTAGTCGAACGCGCCCCAGGGTGCGCTCGCAGGCTCGCGCGGGAGCTCGTCCTTCTTCCACGCGCTGCCGACCCAGAGGCCCTTCTTCGGCAGGCCGCGCCTGAAGCCGAGCTCGTGCAGCTTGGTGATGCGCTGGCCGAGGTCCTCGGCGTCGAGCGCGCAGCCGATCGCGACCCAGTCGGGGAGAGCGCACGGCGCTGGGCAGATGCCCACGGTGAGGAGCACGCCGAACACGTCGGCGTGGTCGCCGAGCAAAACCATCAACATGTATCTCACCAGCTGCGAGACGCGCGAGCGCAGCTTGCCTTGCACGTGCAGCGGCAGCAACGGCGCGACGACCAAACGCCAAACGTCGCGGCAGCGGCCCTTGTCCGCCAACGTCTCGGCGAACCGGAGCCGGTCGCCGCGGTTCACGCGCTGCTGGTCGTCCAGGATCTGCTGGTCGTCGAAGCCAAAGTCGGCCAGCACCTCGGCCCTGACCCTGGCGGCGTCCGTGCGGCTCATCGCGATCCTCTTGGCCCGCATGGACGCGCGCGCGAGGTGGACCGGGGGCTCCCCGTTCCCGTCCCACAAGAGGATCTTCCTGATGGTGGCCCACTGCGCTGGGGCGTTTACGGGAGCCCCGTCGTAGGGCAGCCTTGCCCTGGCATCCTCGCAGGCCTCTGCCGCCAGCATCAGTGGAGTGAAGCCGCCGCTGTCGCGCAAGCCCGCGTGGGCTCGCAGCGCCAGCAGGGAGCGCGCGACATCGGCGCGGCCGGAGCGCGCCGCCAGGTGCAGCGGGGTCTCGCCGTTGACGTCCTGGCAGTCCAGATCTGCGCGGTACGAGGCAAGGGCCCGCACCATTACCACCGCCTTGTCCTCGCTGCTCGTCTGCGCCACTGCGATGTGCATCGGCCGTCGCCCCAGCGTGTCGCAGGAATTGATGTCGGCCAGCTCGCCGCCTTTCCCGTTGCCTTCCACGACGAGCTTCCTCACTGCGCTCTTGTTGCCCTCGGCAACCTCCGCGAGCAGCCGCACGCAGGAGGCATTGCTGAACTTCTGCGCGGCCAGCTCTGCCGAGGTGGTGACCAGCGGCTTGCCTACATCTTCGGGCACAGCCCAGAGTGCCAGGCGGCGCACCACGGCGTCGTTGCGCATGCGTGCTGCGGCGAGCAGGGCGGAGCAGCCGTCCAGGTTCCTTAGCTCAAGGCCGCTGCCGTGCTTGAGCAACACCTCGACCATCGCCTCGTTCTTCTGCGTGGCCGCGGCGTGCAGCGGGGTGGCACCGCTTCCGTCGGCGAGCGACGGGTCCGCCCGCGCCTCGAGAAGCATCATGGCCGCTCGCACCCCGGTCCTCCGCGCCCCCACGGCCGCGGCCACGAAGTGCAGCGGGCGCCAGCCCACCAGGTTCTCCATGCCGCGGTCGGCCCCGAAGTTCACCCCGCGGGCGGGCGCCAGGGATGTGCGCCAGGGGCCCGCGCCCGGGTGCTCCAGCTCCTGGCGCAGGCCCTCCAGGTCCACCTCGCAGCCGTGCTGGAAGGCCCTGTCGACCACGGAGATCAGCTGCTCGCCGCGCTGGCGCTCCAGCACGGCCTCCGGCGAGCCGGCGGGCGGCCGGTAGTCCAGGGCCTCGCGGGCGGCCTCGACCTGGGCCACGGTGGGGTAGCGGTCGCCGTGGAGCTTGGGCAGCACCCGCAGCTGCTCTGGGAGCCGGCGGGCCATTGCGCGGTCGACGAGCCCGAGGTAGAACCCGTAGAACTTCCAGAGCTTGATCGGCAGCTCCTCCCTCATCTTGACCAGCATGCCCATGTCGTTCAGCGTGGCGGCGGAGAAGACCTCCTCGCGCAGGCGGGTCAGGCGCGCCTCCTCGCGGGCTGCGAGGCCCAGGAAGAAGCGCCTCCACCTGTCGGGGTTGATCACCCCGAGCCTCGCCGTGCGGAAGAGGTGGTCGACGTAGCACGATGCGTCGGCCGCGTTGAGCTGCTCCGAAGTGGCGCTCGCGGCGTCGAAGTCATCGTCATTGTCGTCGTCGCCCTCGGCCCACATCGCGACGCTGGAAGCGGCGGGCTGGCAACGCCCGCGCCTAGCCTCCCCGCGCCCGATGAGGCCTGCATCCCGCCTTGAGCCGGAACGGCCAAGGAAGAGCGAAGCTGGCAGAAGCAGAGATTGGCAAAGAGCGCCACTTAAGGGAAAGGCGAATGATGGAATCACCATGAAACGTACACCATTCACGCGTAAATACCTGCTGGGAGGAATTACCACTTGTCGAATCTTGAGATGTCGATGTGTCTTCTTCTGCTTTGGGCCCCTGGAGCTCCCCGGGAGGAGGCAGGAGGGCGGGTTCACAAGACAGCACTCCGCTCTGCAGCAAGAGTTCCACGATCGCAGCACTTGGCCACACGAGAACGGTCGGCGAGCGTTCCTGGGTCTTCGCCCCGTGGCCGCCCGTCGCCGCCTCGTCGCCGCCTCGTGCGCTGGTCGGTGTTTCCGGCGTTTCGCCAGGCGTCCGCCTCGTCGCAGCCCCGTGCGCTGGCCAGCGTTTCCCAGCGGTTCTCGCACGGGGGCCGCCAAATGTGTCGTTGCCGCCTCGTGCGCTGGCTGGCGTTTTTCGGCCTTTCGCACGGTGGCCGCCCGTCGCCGCCACGTGCGCAGGCGGGTGTTGCACCTCGCAGCTTGCACCGCGTAGATCGTAACACGTCTGTTGCACAACGCTGGCTCCTGCTCCTAAGCGAAGAGTGCTTGTTAGACGCGTAAACCGAAGCAGTACGCTTCCAGCCTCATGTTTGTGCAGTGAAATGTGGAACAACCGATGTCGTGCAATTTTTGTGGTGCAATACATGTTGTGCAGACTTTGTGGCGCATTCTATGTTGTGATGTGTAAAAATATAGTATTCATATGTACACACATGCTTTTTATTCAAACATGTGCAACAATCCCAGTGGTGCAATCTACGTGGTGCAATTGACTTTGATATCTTCGCGTGTGACCACCTCCCATGCTCGCGCAATCATCCCACCCACCTGAAAAAATGGGATTTCATTCCTCTTCTTATTGAGTGTGTCCATCCTTTCTTGTCTTATATCCTCCTGCTGACCGCTGCCGTTTAGGGCCTTAATCCGCCCCAAGCAAGAAAAAGACCGCCCCCTTCGCGAGCCCTTCTGGGCAACTCTGCCCAGCTCTCGTGCCGAATGGCTTTCGCGTGAGACATATTCGAATTGGTAGTGGATCGCGTTGCGCTCCCTGGCCTCTCCGCGCCTGCTGCCATGGCGATTGCAAGCTTCGAGAGAAATGGTGTCGAAACGTATTTTTTTATAGCTGGTTTTCAACAAAGCTGGGAGTCCTACGAAAAGGATCTCAGTGCGTGGGTGCTGTCCAGAACACATAGGGCCACACATCAAAAGCAGAGGCTTTTCGTCCAACCTGTTCTTGAAGGATCAGGCTAAACTTCTTGATGTGGCTCGGTTGTCTACCGATCAAATGAGCGAGTCTGGAGCGACTAGCTCCCTTGGCTTCTACTACTTGTTGTCTTTCATGCATCGAGAAAACAAAACTCAAGATGACGTGGCAAAGCTGTTGCGTTTCTTTTTGTGGTTAAAGTACACCCATAACGGTGGAACATTGCATGATTACGTATCCGAGAGCGTGCGGCTCATTAGCGAGTTTGAGGCTGATAAGTTCGTCAAGCTGGAGAAATATGTCAAAACTCTCATTCTCATAGTGAACGCTGAGCTGTCTCAGCGCCAACTCAGCAACCTAAGCACTCGTTTACACATGGATACTGCCCTCACTGTCAAGAGAGCACGGGATGCGATCCATAATGTCCTGGGAGACAACCTCCTAGGACAAACTTCGACGGACGGATTCGCCGCAGACGTCTGGGACGAGCCTGAAAGACCCGATTCTCAATGGGAAGACACGTCTTACTATGAGCAGTCTTGCCAGGAAGCCATCTGGGAAGACGCCACCAACGGAAACGCAAAAGGGTGTCTGAGGTGTGGTGACCCCAACCAATGGGCTGATAACTGTCAACGCCCGCCAAGCTACGCACCTAACAGCAAGGGCAAAGGAAGCATAAACTTTGCCCCTGGCAGGGGTCCAGGTAAAGGGTGCGGAACAGGAGCTGCAAAGGCAACCCCTGGCAGGGGAAAAGAAGCCAATACTTACCAGGGAGGTATGTATAGAGGAAAGCCCACAACTGGAAAAGCGACAAGACCCCAAAATAAAGGCAACACTTCACAGAAAACGTCGGGGAAAAACAGCCGCGCAGTCACAGATGATGACTCCAGCTGGTGGATGGGGGCTGGCGACTGGTCGGAGCATCCAGATTGGAGCTCTGGTCAATCCAGCGGCTACGAAAACCACCCCGATTCGCATGCCCAACTAGCTTGGTCATTCGTGGCGGAACACTCGGACGAGCCTGCTCGTGACAGCCAACCACCGCAACCACCCCGAGAGAAGGGGCCACCGAACCTGCCGCCGGAACAGGCGCAGCAGTTACACGCCGTCAGAATATGCAACTGCTCAGCAACGAACTTGCGCACCTCCGGTCCCTCCGAGAACAAAGGCTGCCAGAAGCGTCGCGCCCGCCTCCCAACGCTGCAACAAGTGCGTCGTCCAGCTACGCCGCAGATGCCGGACGCCGGACCGTCGAGCCTGGGCGTCCTGGCCGATGAAATGGCGTCCGTGGGGGCGGAGCGCGCTGGACCGGCGAGCCTGGGTTTCCCGGGCGCTGGAAGAGCCGCTCCCACCGACCGTGGCCTGTCGTCTAACGCTCCGTCCCGACCGGCGTGCCTGGGCCCCCCGGCTGCTGGAATGGATAGATCGCGTAGCGCGCCCGTAAGCGTGGGCCCGTTCAGGGCACCTCGCAACGAGGGCAGCCCCTGCCGACTTGTGCGGGTCAGCTGCTGCGGCGAGTTGATGGCGCAGTGTACTTGTCTGTCCCACGTAGAGTGCGGGAACTTGTGTTTCACCTGCGAGAACATCGACTTGGTCGACCAGCAGCTCAGAGGGCCGCGCTGGTGCATGGGCCCACGGCTGTGCCAAAACTGGCAGAACGACGGCTACGGCGATGACGACTTCGATTCCGACGAAGACGACAGCGGCGAAGAGGACGCAGACGACGAAGACCGAAAGACCGCTGGAAGACCGAAGGACGAACCTGCCGACGACGAAAGGAGCGACGACGGCAAAGACGACGACCCCAAAGAAGACAATCGCACCGCCTACGATGCAGAAGCGGCAATGCCGTTGTTTGCCACGGAGCACAGCCTGCACGCGGACGTCGCCGTCCACGAGGCCATCGTCGATCCCTGCTGCTCTATGGGAATGGTTTCAGAAGACCGGTGACGCAGGTTCAGGGGGCTCCTTGCCGCGGAGTTTCCTGATCAGCGCGCGTCCGAAAAACCTTCTTCGTCAGTGCATCGTTCGGCTGAGGGTGATTCAAAAACGGCCGCGAGTTTAACGAACGTCCCTGTTCGAACGCTTAATTCTAGAAGCGATTTTGAAGCAGTCAGAACAGGCGCAGGTCTACGAGCCGCATTTTTTTGTCCAAGCCTCAACTGAAGAACTTGTGCGCCGCAGTGGATTTCGATGCTGGCGCGCATTTCTTGAAAAACGGCGCCAAAAAACAATGCCGCTGAAGACGGGCCGCGCCAGGCGCTGCCTGTTTCCACTCCGCCCCGCGCGGCCGGCAGCACTGCGCGCAGAACCGTCTGCGACCGCGAGCCCCACCAACATAGAAACAACGTATGAAACCATTGCGGTGCTGGACAGCCCCAGGTCGTTTCAGACCTCGATGGCGCCTCGTCTGTCCCAGCTGAAGCGCGACCTGACCGCGGAGGCTGGATTGAATTATATCCATGATCGACTCGGCCACCCTAGCGCGGAGCACTTGGCGCGTAAGATTACTCCTGTGCGGGGTCTGGAACCGTGCCTGCCGTGGCGGCCCTCGCCGAGAAGACCGCGCGCAACTGCGAAAATGCGTGATGGTATTCGTGAAACCGCTCCCTGCCCCAAGACCTCCGGCATGAGTGCCAGATCAGTCAGCCAGATCGCGTGTGTCGATTCATTCGAAATCATTTTCGCTACCCAACCAACAAATTCCCATCATATGATCGATGCTTTCACGAGGTGGTCCCTGGCAGAGCGGGTTCCGACCAGGGAGCCCACTGGCGCGCTGCAGAGACTCTCCCGGCGGCGATGCGTTGTTGGAGGCCTGCCAGGCAACGAACGTCCTGGCCGACGACGGCGGTGCGCATGCCAGCAAACAAATAAAATAATACTTGGAGCTACACGGCGTGCGTCGCTTGTGGGCCCCCCCCCGGACTCATGCTTCCACTGGCATCGTTGGGGGGCGCAGCGGGGCGCTGCCGCTAATCTTTTACAAGTTGGCTCAGATGTTCATGAGCCGCGTTGGCAATGGGAAGCTCACCGCCATGGGCGTCGCGCTTCAAAAGCCTGTGCTGCGAAGAACGCCTTGGTGCGACGATGAAGGTTCTCTTCCCGCTTCCTAGCGCTAGGGAGCCAACCCCTCTTCGACGCCATCGATGAAGCAGACCCTCCCGCGCCCTTGGATCTCCCCGCGGACCCCGCGAGCAACGCTCAGGCCAGGCTCTCCCTCCGGCGAGCCGGGCAGCAAGTGGCTATCAAGATCCAGACGTGTTCTGGATGGGCGTTGGAGCGATTTCGATGTGCGCGCGCGAGAGGTCAGTGGCAGCGCTGGAAAAATCGGCATGCGCGCGACGGCGAGCGCGCGTGCACTTCGCCTGGCTCTTTGTAAGGGGTACTTGAAAACGCGTGATTAGGATGGGCGAGTTTGCGCGCGTAAAGCTTATGAGCAGGGGGCCGGGGGGGGGGCGGGGGGCGATGCCGATGGCCTGGGATGATGTGAATTCATGTGTAGGATGGGCGACGAGTCAGAATCAAACGTAAATTGCAATGCGGAAAGCCGCGCCAATAAGGCGGGGCGGGGGGGGGGGGGGGCGAGAGTTCATTGTTATTAAGAAATGAGAATTCGCTTATGGAGCTCGCAGTCGCCCGCTCCACTGCTCGCGCAACCGCCCCGCCCTCCCGCCCGCGACTTGGTTCTGCAAAACGCATGCGGCGGCGATTGCGATGAG